ATATATATTGACGTAAAACTTGATGTCATCTTTGCATCGATTGTGGTCACTATTTAATTGATATATTTATAAAAAAGTTTTCATTTTCATCTTATGTTTTTAATTTAGATCAGAGGTAACAATAAAAAAAAATTCAAAAAACAAACCCATTTATTATTATTTTTTTATAATCGAAAAGTGTTATCTTCTAATTACTTTCTATAAATATAAATTAATTTTAAAACTAATGATTTTAGACTTACACACTCTTAGAATCGAAAAAAAAAACATAAATTTTGTAATAATCACAAAAAAAGTAAAAAATGAGATTTAGACTTTAAATCTTTTTCTACCACTGAACCACTTTTTGTTATTACAAATTCATTTATTATCAAATTCAACAAATTAACATAAATGTAAAACAGATCTTCGTTTCTTATTAAAAAATGTTGGAATTAGATGTTAAAAAAAAGAAGGAAAATGTTGGAATAATGATAAATCATAAGATTAAGATAGCACCTTTTTCTATTATATTGCCTTTTGTTTTCTACAACTCAAAATTAAATTCTTTTTTTCCCTTACTTTGCAGACACATGAGATACCTAAAGCTAGAACTCGTGGACGTTTCTAGCTGAAGATCGGCTCATGAAGAACTTGAGCCATACCTAGTTTACCTATGTCCACTTAAGAAAGGTGGTTGGAGGTTGGCAAAAGACATTTGGATGGTCACCAAACTACAAAACAATCCTTGGTATGATTTTATGTCCTAATCAATTTCTTTTCTCTAGTCTGAATTTTCATTCCCCAAGGAAAACCCGTAAAGTCACAAGCTTCACCTTTTATTTCTCACTTTTTTACGTACCATAATAATATAAAACCCAATAATACACCTTTGCCCCATTCATCATCTCTCTTTCTTGTTACTTACTAATCATTTTTAATTCATAGCCCAATCTGAAAACACTCATTAACCCACAATCTTCCTGGTTGGCACCTTCTCTTCTTTTCTTGGCATTTTTTATTTATCTTCATCTAATTATACACAAACTCGTGGGTTCTATTTGTCCGCTTTCACTTTAGCAGAAAGAATCTCTGCTTTCTGTACAAAATCAATTCATTTTCTCTTAATTATTAGTTAAATATCATCAGCCAACACCAAATCCCAATAAAACCCATTTCATTCTTGTAGGTTAAGCTTCAAGGACAAGAACCATACATATACCTACAGCTCTCCTTCGCTTCCACCTTCTCCCTCTAACCTAAACTAATCAAGGCTTCACCTTTACATACATACATACATACATTACATTGATTTTAGGTACACAAGGACCATAACCCATTAAAGTCCATTTCTTTCTTTTTTTCCTATCCCTCTCTCTCTAGTCTCTATAGACAAAGGCAAATTCTCTCCCACTCTTGAAGCAAAGGAGGCATCAGCTTTAACTTTTTTATATTCTCTCTCTTTTTCTGGTTTCTGGGTTTTTGTGCATTCATTGAGATCTGTTTCAAAATGAGGTTCCTTCAAGGCTCTTGTATAAACACAGCGGAGCCACCAAGTAGCTCTACTACTGAAGCTCTGTCCACTTCGACTTTCATAGCCAAAGATCATTACTTTGATAATGAGATAAAAATGAAAGCTTTTTGGTCAAAAATGTTTTGGAAATTTGGTTTGTCCTGTTTTGTGCCAAATGAGAGTGATGAAACCAGTAAGGAAAGTAATAACAAGAATGCAAATTTAGAGCACAACAAGGCATGGTTGTTGGCAGAGTCTGGTGGTTGTGGCGGTGCAGAGTTAACGAATGCTGATCCACACTCAGTTCACTCTTCTTTCAGGTTTAGTTTATGCTCTCAAGTTGAGCTTGAGTCGATGAACATGAATTCTTCAGCTTCCGCAACTGTTTTGATGGTGAATTTGGGCAATGGATTGAATGAGACTAGAGCTAAAGAGCTTAAATGGAGGAGAATTCAGTCTCTCGAGAGAAGTATCTCTCCAGTTGCAAACTTTTTGGTCAGATTCAGTTATAGTGAAATTCATGCTGCTACTAATAATTTCTCAAAAGGTAAGAAATTGGTAACTTTTGTGTTTTGTTTTGAATCTTAAAGTTGGTTTCTTGCTTGAGATTTTGATTTGTTTTTGTTGTGATGGGTAGGTAGAGTCTTGGGACGGGGAGCTTTGAGCTTTGTTTTTAGAGGTAAAGTTGGGTTCTTGAGGACAGCTGTGGCAATTAAGAGATTAGACAAGGAGGATAAAGAGGCTTCAAAGGCATTTTGTAGAGAATTAATGATTGCTAGCTCTCTTTACCACTCAAATATTGTGCCTCTTGTGGGGTTCTGTATTGATCCAGAGGAGGGTCTGTTCTTGGTGTACAAATATGTATCTGGTGGCAACTTAGAGTGCCATTTGCATGGTATGTTTTCTTGTTCTTTGATTTGGGACTTTGAAATTTGATTGAATTTTGTGGAATGTGAGTAATTTATGGAATAACCTTTTGCAGACAAGAAGAAAGGGAAGGGAGGAGTGAAGGGTTCTTCAGGCCTTCCCTGGTCTGTGAGGTATAAGGTTGCACTTGGAATTGCAGAAGCAATTGTATATTTGCATAATGGAACTGAAAGATGCGTTGTTCATAGAGATATTAAACCCTCAAATATACTCCTTTCTTCCAAGAAAGTCCCAAAGGTAAGGGGGTTTGTTTTATGGATTACAATCACTTATTTAAGTGGTTCTGTGGTGTTCAGTGTCGATTGAGTCTAGGAATGTTATTTTTATTGATTAATAATGACAATTGTGCTTGCAGTTGTGTGATTTTGGTTTGGCTACTTGGACTTCTGCACCTTCAGTCCCTTTCCTTTGTAAAACTGTCAAGGGAACATTTGGGTATGAACTGGAACAAAATTGCATGTTTTTCTTAATGGTTCAACCTATCTTTATTTTATTTTATTTTTTTCTCATTTGCTGATATAAATCTTAAATGTGCAGCTACTTGGCTCCTGAGTATTTCCAGCATGGGAAAATATCCGATAAGACCGATGTGTATGCTTTTGGTGTGGTCCTATTGGAGCTAATAACTGGGAGGAAGCCAATTGAAGCAAGAAGGCCACCAGGGGAAGAGAATTTGGTCCTATGGGTAGGTTACTGAATTAATTTTCTTTAACTTTCCATTAGTCCCTTTGACTTTGTATGCTTGATTGAATGGCCCCACTAGAAGCTTCCATGAAGAAATAGGACATTCTGTTACACAGTGCCATAGTCTACAAGCCGCATTCTGATCATAAATATCAAAAGTGCAGCAGACTCGCAATTCTTTGTAAACTTTGAGGAATTATAACTTTCTTTGTTAGGATGGCATTGCTCTGTCCTCTGTTATGAGCAGGGTGAAATTTATGCATCATTTTTTCACTGCTGATTGTAGGGAAATGGATTGGCAGTGAGACTGTTATGACACCGGTGGCTAGAATTCTAGACTTTTGCATGACTTTTTCAATTCCTTATAGTTTACTTTCAACCTCAATTCTCCGACATCTTTAGCTAAAGTATGAACTATTAAGTGATTTTCGTCTCAAAATTATGAACAAATTTACCAAAGTTGTTGTGGACATATCCTTTGGAGGAGAGTTTATTTTTTCTTTCTCATGGTTTTAATATTTTGAAGAATCCCATCATTTTCAAAATTTACTATGACTTTTTCCTTCGAGCTCTAATAAAATCATGCGCATTTACTTTGGCAACAATGTCGATCATAGTAGGATTTGTTGCATTATGGAAAATCATCTTGACTTGAGCAAGTCTTTCTTAGATATTAACCATTTGTTCAGTACATGATGACATTTTGTGCCTGTATTATGATTAGTATCTGCTTTGCTTGGATGTGAAATTGACGTCATGGACTCTGCAATCTTTTTGCAGGCTAAACCCCTATTGCTGAAGGGAGAAGGAGCCATTGAGGAGTTGCTTGATCCAAGACTTAAATGTACTTTGAGAAATACAACTCAAATAACCCAGATGATCCAGGCTGCTGCTTCCTGCATAAGTAACGAAGAATCTCGAAGACCAGGAATAGAAGAAATTATTGGCATACTGAGAGGTGTAGAACAACCCATCTATTCAAATAGGAAGAAGTCCAATTTTTCTGGGATTATAGATTGTTGCCCTCAACTACAACAGACAAAAAGTGAGATGAATAGTCACTTAGCTTTGGCTATGTTAGGAGTTTCAGAATTTGAGGATGATGATCACCTTTACTGTCGTTAAAACATGGTATATTCAACTTTCTGATTTTTCTTTTTGGTGTTTTTTGCTCTCTTTTTTTTTTTTTGCTCGAAGAGAAAAAGCCTAGAATTCAGAATCAAAAGAAGTGTTGAAATTGTAAATAGGAAAAATGAGTTTGCTGAGAATTGTGTAAATAGCTTCCATTCAACCGCCCCTGGCTTCAATGGGAAAGCACAATAGGTTTCATTTAAAGGCTAGACTTCTAATTTTATATTCTTGGAAGCAATCTGCTGATTTTCTAGTTATCTTCCCCTGCTGTTGTAAAGCCTCTCGAATCTATATGCATGGTAGATTCATTTCAATGTTAAGACTAATTCCATATTCTGGAAATCAACTTGCAGATCAGCTTGTTTTTCTTTCTTCGGTGATTGCAGAAAAGCTTGAATCTTTGGCTAGGCCCATGACTTGTATACTAGCCAAGGAATTGAACATCCTATGACCATAAAATGGTACTACGACAATCATAATCAATGGCTAAAATTTTCTGACATAGGAGCCAGTTTTTATTGGGATTAGAAATCATGAAGGGGCAACGCCTAGTTTGACCACAGAACAACTTTGCTGTTGCAATATCACATTCAAAAACTTAAAATATACCAAATTGTACATATAGAAACAAGAGGTGATAAAGATGTTTGTAGTTTAACTGCCAAAAACAAGTCTTTGTCATATCAAAAATGCACTTAAGACTTGCCTCTGCCTCTACGTCACTTTCCAAGTTAAAAAATAACAGCACAGAAAAAACGAAAGGGTATTAAAATATCTTAGCAACGTCCTTCATCAGGCCACTGTTAGCCTTGGCAAAATCTAAGAACTCCTCGTATGATATGAATCCATCACCATCAGTATCAATCTCAGCCATCATGCGCTTGACCTCCTCTACCGTGACTGAACCGAGGGTCTTCAAGCAATCGCCGAGCTCTGTTGCAGAGATTTTGCCGTCACCATTCAAGTCAAAGCGCTTGAAAATGCGCTCTAGCTCAGCATTTTTGTCAGCCATGTTGGTGTTAGAAGTGTGTTCTGATCCTGGCCTTGTAGTTGAATAAGGATGATTGGGAGGTAAAAGATTGTGGTTTTTAAAGAGAAGATTTGTTTGTTTTTAACTGTAAGGTCATCCAATGAACTCGGTACAGGAATGGATCACCTGAAAACTCTCAACTATTTTGTCTACAAACAGGACCAATCTAAACTTAGAAACTGTTCAAAGAAACGAGAGAAAGATTAGGAAAAAACATGGATGTGAATCATTTTGCTTCAAATCTCTGACAATGGGCTGTTTCTTAACGAAGTAAAAGGCTAGAGAAGGACACAACTCCCACATTGAAAAATAGGATGTGTTATCGGTTAAAACAGTCAGCTTGTAAAATAGGATGTGTTGAAAGTTGAAACATGGAAAGTAAATGAAAATGTCTAAATTTTGATAGTAACTGATGGGAAATTTCTTCTGTTTTTTCAATAATATTAAGCACTTCATTACAGCTTGATATTGACTTGAGATTTGCGCTTGGAGGTCTCATGTTCAAATAAAGTTGGAATGGTGAGAACTTGCGATTTTCGTTTGGAGATCTTAGGTTCAAATCTTGGAAGGAAATAAAAATGAGAAAAGTTACTTCATTGTGTAGTAGCCAAAGACACAGTGGGAAAAACAAATGGGCGAATATGAAGCAAAATGGCAATATTGGCTTTATCGTTGTGTTGACTGGAGGCATATCAAGGCTAGGTTTCGTACAAGAAGCTAGCTGGGAAAAAGATATAACTAGACTTAATCATTGCTAAACTTTTTATGATTTTATGATTTTTAACCTAATTGAAAATTAATCTTTGAACTTTTAATTTGTATTTTAATCTTTTTATTTTTATTTTTAAATTTAGTCCATCCTTCAGCTGTTATTTATCTTAAAAAATAACAATTACATAAATAGCTTCATGATGAAAATCATTTAGTAAAATTTATTAGAGTTTCCTTCAAAATTTGAAATAATTCTGAATTACTTTCTATTTTCTTCGATTTTTTTATATTTTTAATGTTACAAAAAAGACAAATATAATTTTCAATGTTGAAAAATTCTAGAATTTTCCTAAAGAATAGATTGGATTTTTTCTCTATGTTTGTGCGGCACTTCAAATCAAAATACTAAGAATTGAATCTTTCAAAAGAGAGGGGTGATATATGATAATCATAAAATAAACTAAATCTTAAAAAACAAAGTTCAATAAGGTCAAAACAAAAATTGAAAATTAAAAATAAAAAATTCAGAGATTGATTTTCAAATAAACTAAACTTTAGAAGAGGTTTGACACTTCTAGCCACATGAAAATTGCAGAGAAAAGACGAGACATCACAAAAATTATAACTTAATTTTATTGCTGAATGTTCCCAAAATGGTGCGATACAAGAGGGTTGACGTAATCCGCAGGACTAAAACGATTTAACTCAATAGATTATGGTAAAGCTTCCAACTGTAAACTGGGTGGATATGTTTTGAATTATTGAAGTAAATAGATCCTACACTAGCACCACCAATCATTGCTAGCATTGTCCAACAATCCAAAGAATCGGCATGGAATGTATTACCTAGCCACAGGGATTACAAGAAACCCTATCCAACAGAATGAAGGATGGCACTGAGCACAGATTCTCTAGTCGGCAAAGCTGGAATCGCACCTCTCTCCTTCACGGTCAATGCCCCACAGGCATTGGCAAACTTGAGAGCTTCTCTCAATCCGTCCTCATTCTTAAAGATTGAAAGAATTCGGTCAGGCGGAAAGTGCTTTATAAAGTTACAAGATGAAGTACACTATAGTTTAAAATCAGAAACTGTGATAACTAAGCACAACATGCACTACTTTGCAAAACAACAATAACCTGGAATGCCTGTAAATTGAGAAATACTGGAAAACAATGCTACTGGGGATTGGAAACCAAAATACATAAATAAATATTTTTTTTAGATGCTGCGCGTGAAGGGAAAAAATCAATTGAGAACAAAACAATTTGGAGAAGTTCTTGACATTGTTCTATGAAGTCCTTGCTTGATTTAAAAAAAAAAAAAATTCCCTAACATATATTATACCTTCCGAGTATAGCCAAAGATCAAGTTTCTCCTATTACATGGAAGAACGCACCTTATAATTGTTTTATAGTAGCATGAAATGATAGGCTTGGAGCATTTATGATTATTGAGATCGCCAAGGGCAGATGCAAAACTCAAATGTTTGAGTCAACAGCTGATATGTTGACAAAGGTAGGATTATGCAACACATATAAACAAACTATTTTACATTATAACGAAGACACCAAATGCATACATGTAAACTTGTGCACACACCACACACAGCATTATCAACCAGAAGAAAATGCCTGTTTTCTTTTATCTAATTGTTAATGGCATTACCTGGAGCAAGGAGAGATCCTTAGCTAGTTGTGACAATATTCCAGCAACAAAAGCATCCCCAGCACCGGTGGTGTCCACAGCATCCACCTTTAAACCCTTCACTCTGCCACTGAACTCCTGAAAACATATAAGATAATACAAATTTACTTGTGGAGAAATTAGAAGAAAACGTCATCTCCGAGCTATGAGGGAGATATCCCAAGGCATCATTACTATGTCAGAAGGTCAATTAGTTTAAAAATCACAGTACATTTTCACAAAATTTACAAGTCAAATCCTCATGATTGACAAGAAAGCCTTTTAGAGCTGCCATCAACAAAGAAAACTTTAATAGGCAGATAAAGTCCTGTCACAATATTCAAAACTTTCCAATTCTATCTATATGCAATATTTAGATTGCTTCTCCATTCAAGTTGTTCTACAATGTTGCATGCTGCAGCAAACTCTCTCTCTCTCTCTTGTCTCTTTTCCTTTTTCGTGTTCTGTTAAGTTCCCCTAAGCAACATCTTTCAAATAACGGAATTAGGCTTATTCGTTACTGTTATTTGCCATTATAAAGGTCTCATCAGTGTTTCACACAAACAACAGCAAATAACACTGTTACCATTATATAACGCTATTATTTGTCCAATAACACCGTTATATTTATTTTTTGTTTCTTCTTTTTTAAAAAATTTGAATCTATTATACACTTTTTTAGATGCTACTCACATGAAATCTTACATATTGAAATTGTAATATATATTATTATTTTTTTGTGATATTAAACTATTACAAGGGTTGTTAACTTTTTTTTGTAATAAATTCAACTATTGTTACATGATATTAAACTATTAAAGATGTTATTATTATGTGTAATTAGTAAAACTGCTAAAAATATATGAATCAGAACAAATCTATTAACATTGCTAATGCATTCACGACATTGGTTGCCGCACTATTATTATTATTATTTTTTATCGCGATAAGCTACAATCTTTTTTTCAACCGTATCCGCTATTTAAAACTATAAGCAACATGTAACCGGGGCTGTGGAAGTGCATTCTTATTTGAATTCCTGTCATTATCCAACCTCAAAGCAATACTACAGATAAACACTATTTCTTACTGACATGCACGGGAGAGGAAAACAGAGGATGGTCTCTAAGTTGCAAAAGTAAATTTTAAAAGACCATACTTTTGATACTTACTTTGGTGTAATACCTACAGCCCTCTGGTCCCTCGGTGACAAGAAGCAATTTAAGATTTGGATGGTATAGCTTACGAACAACATCATCATCATATGGATCTTGTCCTTTAGTCAAGAAAGATATCTCTTCTTCACTTATCTGGAAAACATAAATAAGATGTGACCATCAGAGTAGTATTTCTATCTTCATTGCACCAAGCCTTTAAATTAGGGAAACAAAAACATTACCAACAAGAAGGTACTTAATCTACTCAAGATGGCTCCTTACCTTGATAATATCAGCAGAGTCCCAAATGCTCAGAATCCCTTCTCTGGCACTATCTGCAGAAGGCCATAGTGGAAGCCTCAGGTTAGGATCGTAGGACAGAACGACACCTGCATCCTTAGCAGCTTTTGCTGCTGCAATGTGAGCTGACTTGCATGGCTCTGTTATAAGACTTATAGAGCCATAATGAAAGATTTTTGCCTGCCAAGGGTCAGAAAAGAGGAGAAAAAATTGAATTTTTTATGTAACAAAGGATTTTTGTGCTTTTAAGTTTTAACTGAACACTACAAGTAGAAATCCTTGCATACCTTTCTAATCAAATCTAAATCAAGTTCAGCTTCTTGAAGCAACATATCTGCACTAGGATTACGGTAAAACATGAATTCACGTTCCCCATCACTTCTTAATGTAACAAATGCTAAAGCAGTCCGTGCACCAGGATCAAAACGCATCCCTTCACTGTTCACATTATTCTCCTTCAATATTTCAGCAAGCATGTATCCAAACTCATCTTCACCAACCTGTGCATGTCATACAAAAGATTCAAGATCTGAGATGATAGACGAGAGATAAAATTTCTGTTGTTAATTTTTGTGAAAAGTACATGGAAATAAGATAGATATAAGCATGTTATGGCATGCTACAAAACTGATGCACAGTTAAATTTTAAAATAAAGAGGGAATAAGTAATTTTTCTCAAGAATGCACTAGGTTGAAAGAATGATCAACATAATTAAGTTGTTAACAAAGCAAATTGTTGTTTGACAGCTCCTGCAGTTCACAGATAGATTCTATCTCCAACTACCCATAGTTTAGCTTCAGCTCTATGCAATGAGTCAACTTCTATTCAACCTCAAAGAGGTGGATGGCAGTTTTTCACCATCAGATAACGTGAATGTCTAGGTAGTAGGTTTGTGGATGGTGGATGCATGAAAGCATTTAAATTCCTAAGTTGCTATGCCAGATAAACTCTGGAAACTCCTGAAATCAGCTTTGCATCTTAACTTTCTGTTAAGCATAGATAATGCATATGAAACAAGAAAAGGTGTTCTGTGTCTTAAAGCAATTAAGTTGGAGAAGGAAACATAAATGGCACTATAATAGGACCCTAATTTGAAAACTACAATACTATATGCCAAGCTCCAGAGAATAAAAAAAACCAGTCAGGAGAAATTTTTATCCACCCCTTAACAAATTAGCTACATGGACATTTGAAAAATGAATCCATCCTTGCTTTCGTATTTTCTAATCGTTTCCAGAAACATGGATCGATATTGTTATAATGGTACCTTCCCTATAAATGCCGATGAACCACCAAGACGAGCAATACCGACAGCAACATTAGCAGGTGCACCACCTGGAGCCTTTTTAAATGCTGGTGCATCAGCCAATGAAAGTCCACTAGTGGTTGGGACAAAGTCAATTAGCATTTCCCCAAAGCAAACCACAAGAGAGGTGTCTTTCGTTCCTGGTAATCCATCACCTCCTAATGCTTTACCTACATAAAATGGAAGCAAAAGAAAGAGCCAAGAGTCACATAACGATTTACAAGAAGTGGAAAATAGAAAAGAGGTCATATTACCAAATAGATAGTAAAAACAGAAATGTAATGAATTTGGTAAAATAAGCTGATGGCCAAGGGAATTTGCACTATAAAGGCAAAAAGTTATATTCTTCTCTCTCCTATTTCTTCCAGCAGAACTCATTCCATAACATGATCCAATAAAGCTCAAATAAGCCGAAACACTTAAAGAACTTGAGCCCGTTCACAATATGGCATCCACAAGATTGAAACCTTATAAAGGCCCTAAAGCTCAAAGATATACCCCGTCTCTTTTGAATTGATAACTTAACCAAAAGAATAAAAAAATCACAACCTGAGATTCACCTTGAGTTCTATTATGAAACTAAAATTGGTGGATTCCAAAACTTGATCACCAAAGCTTCAATTTACAAGACACGGGCACTCATTTTCGACAAGAATCAGTGCAATTTAGACTGATTGTGAAGATCCCATTAAAGGAAAACATCTTGACATACATCAAAACTCAAGAAAAAGTTAAGTAATTTATGATTCCAAGAGACAAAAAATGCTTACTTCGGAAGCTCAATCGAGGAATGGAAACCAAAGGGGGCAAGAAAAAGCTGAGGCTTTAACATTCCCACGTCTAAAACTAAGTTCTTGACGAGAAGACAAAGCCACACCACCTAAACAAAAAGCAGTAGATTGAAGAGCAGCCATGCACTTCAAAATCAAAACTTCTGAGCAAATTTTGGTTACTTTTTTTTTTTTTAATCTGATCAACCAATTGGGCTTTGGTTCTCCGTTGTTAGAGAGAAATAGGAGGTGTTTTGAGAGGTATAGGGATTGTTGGTGGATAAAAACTATGGAGTTCGAGATTTGAGCGGAGGATCCAAGAGAGCGTAGTAGTTAGTTGGTGTCAGTTTCTGGTTTTTGGACAAGACAACTCTTTTGCTCTTGGTAGTCTGATAATTGCTATTCTCCGGTCTCTAAACTCCAAGTGGATTGCATAAACTTATAGTGACTAGAACTATATTTCCTTTTTCCTATTTGTTTTTTGATAATTCTTTCAGAAATACCATATATAGCTGTGATTGTGAATACACTTTATGCCCATCTGATTTTTAGAATCGCTTCTGTTAACGAAAACCTCCTCTGCTCTCTCTGTCTCAAAGGATCATTTCTTTTGATTTTTTACATAATTTTTAAAAAAATTATTAGTTATTATATTTTATTATATTAATATTTTTTTCATATTTTTTTAAGATTATTAGTTATTAAATTTAATTCTGCATTACATGAAACTAATATTTAATTTAAAGAGAAAATCTATTCAAAAAATTAAGTTAATTAAAAATCAAATTTAAAATAATTATGAAAAAATAACATACTTATAGAAATATTTTACTTCTAAAATTTCACACACAGTAAAATCCCTAAAAGAATAAATATTTTTCATATGACAAAAAAATTTCTTTTAAAATTTTATGTTAAAGTTATTTATATGTATTAGTGAAAAATATAAAGAATATCGATTTTTGATAGTAAAGAATATGAAATAATAAAAAAAAATTAATTAAAAATATTTTAAGAAAATATATTATTTAAAAATTTGACTAAATAAATATTTTGAGAGAAATATAAATAGAGAGAGAGACAGAACCTTTTAAAAAAGGATGGAATATACAAAAAGGATGTATACTTGTGCTGGGGTGGCGATGCTTAAATTAGAAGGAGAAAATCATTGACTCTTAGGTTCCGTTTGTTTGGTCAAAAATATCTTTCATAAGAAAATTAATTTTTTAAAACTTAATTTTTAAAAAAATATTTTCTGTTATTTCACAATTATATGAAAAAATTATTGAAAAATATATTTTAGCCTTTGTTTGATATAGAAAATTAAAATATAAAAACAATATGTGATTATTACATTAACGAATTTTGAGAAAATTTCAAAAAGATATATTCATAATTTCACAAAATAAGATACATTTAAAAAAATTTAATAAATTTTCATAAATACTAACTATAAAATTTTAATTCAAAAAATAAAATGTACTTTTTTAATCATCAAACCAATTCATCAAAATTACTTGGGACAAAATCAAGTCAATATTCACTTTTAGTTAAAAAAAATAAAAAATAAAGTAATCATAGCATTATTATTTTGGTAACTCAATTAAGAATTCTTTTTTTTTTTTTGAAATTGATTTGATAATTTAGTCTAAAAAATAATTTAATAAATTATTAGTTATCATTTATAAATAATTATTCATTTGATTTCAAAAGATTAATATTGGAATAATTTGTGACTTGTTATTTACTACAATTATCAATAAAATTTTACAACTGATTAAAATTATAAATTATTGATTTAATTACAAATTAATAATGTTGAGAAAATAATGTATTTATTTTTGAATTAATGAATTTCAATTTTTTTTTTACAAAAAATTACAGCTTTGTAATAATTATTTAAGTATAGTGTAAGTGGTATTTGAGATAATAGTAAAAAAATAAAGATAAATTATTGAAATATTAATTATAAAAATAATTTTAAGGTGTAAAAAAAGTTTTTAAGAATATTTAATACATCCATAAATCAAAAAAATCAAATATTAATGAAAATAGAGAAAAATAATTAAATAATAAAGAATAATTGATAAAGAATAATTAAAATTAATTTGATATATTTTAAATAAAAAGAAGATAGAGAAAAAAATTGTTAAAATATATCGAGAGAGATATAAATAACGCGAGAGCGAGACGACTCGTGAAAAAGAAAATATTTTTCTCTTTTTAAACCGAGAAAATATTTTTTAAAAAATACTTTATCGTTTTTCGTTGATTTTTTTTCTAAACACGAAACAAACACTAAAAAATAAGAAAAACAATTTCCTAGAACTTGTTTTCCGTCAAACAAACACAGCCTTAAAGAAATGGGTCAACAATTTTTTTTTTAGTACAAAAAGGAAAACTGAAAGCAATTGTATGAGAAACTATGCATTATTTATTTATTTATATTAATTATAACATGATTTAAGAAAATGTAAATTGAGCAATCACATTTCTCAATTTCTAAGGCCCAAATTTTACAACCCATTTCATCATGTTAATTGGTTTGGTAATTACATAAATTAAGCCTATAATCAAAACTAGAGACTATCTATTGAATAAATTGTTACAAATAAGAAAATATCAATAAAAATGAACCATTCACTACATTGGGGGAATTAGATTTTTGGTATCGACTAGACGCATGGAAGAACTTACATTTTATTCTTCTTTATATAATATTTTATTCAACCAAAGATATGACCACACACATAATTCATGGAGGCTGGAAATTTGTACTCTCTTTTTTCTTAATGGAATAAATCATTTATCATTGCACGAATTTTTGCCACAGCCTAGGGTATCTAATCCGATTTAATTAAATAAATCTGATATATAGATTTTTTATTTAAATTTGATTATATTCTGAATTTGTTAATCTATTTATTATATAGATTAGATACAGATCAATCTTGATTTAGTTTAGTATTAATATAGTCTGAAATTAATATTAATATTATTTATAATAAATATAATACTTTAAGAACATAAAAGAATTTAAATATAAAATATAAGAAAATTGTACTGTGTTTAAATTTGAGGTTTATTTACTATAAATGCTAAGACAAATTATATACTTCTTCCTTTTCTTTTTCTCTACGTTAACAGTTATTTAAAAAAAAAATTAATTACACGATTAGTTTTTTCATCTTTTTTCAAGTATCAAATTAATTTTCTGAAAAATCCTATAAACGTATGAAAAAAAAATGTTGTAACTAATATTATATTTGTGCTTCTCATTTTTATAATCTTGATCCAATCTAAATTTTTATCCGTTTCAGCCTTGTTATTTGTAAAATACTAGCATTTTATTTCATATCAATTAATTTGTGCCTAGACTAGGTGATTTTATATATACATTTTTTATTTTGTCATTTTTTTTTGTGCCTAATTTAAATTAATTCTGATGTTTAACATAAATTTTTATCACAATTATTTGATTTAATTTATTTTAATTATGAGATATTTGGATTTTTTTAAAAAAAATAACGTATAAAATATTATCATAATATATTTTCTTATACGTAAAATAGTTAAAACTCATTTTATATTTAAACTTGATTTTGAATATAATCAACCCTTCTGTCTCGAAAAAATTAAATAATAAATTCGATAAATATTCAAATACGATCTGAACCCATTAGAATTCAGATCCAGATAAATAATTACAAAACCCAATTCTGAACTGATAAAATTTAATTTGATTTGTTTATTAAATAAATCAAATTCAAATCAATTCCTGACTAAATCGGACCTGTTAACAGCCCTACAGGAAAATATAGTCCACGACCAACTAGATAGAAAATAAAAGATAGGGACCAAGCCCAGAAGAACAAGGCTGATCCCAAATAAGAACAAAGTTAAAAAGGCCAGTGTATCACATTGTGGCCAGATCCAACTTCTGCCTGCTTCCTTCCATCCCCATCCTCTCAGATGTTACGCAACGGCTGTGAACTTCCGGCTATCGTTATTATTGATTCATTAAAAATTCTTAAATTTGTTTTTAATAATATATATTTTTCTAGTAGATTTGTTTAATACATACAAGAATAACCATAAACTGACACGACTAATTACCAATGTCCCGATTCAGACAAACCTGAACTGTCAATATTAGTTGTCCCTGTTTTTTGTGTTTCCTCTTTTCCAGATATGATGATGCCCAGTGGATCTGAATTGGCGCATGCCACAAAGGCACATGCAACTCGTTAAGGTTGAGTACCTGTGCATGGCATGAACAGACTTCCTTTTCACAGGGTTTGGTTTAAAGACTCACGCGCTTTGTTATCACATGATTTTGAGACACAAAGTCTTCTCTTCTGGTTGTGTCTGCCAGTAGGCAGGATCCCAGTTGAGCTGGAGCTGGTAATAAATGTTCTTGGACGCGTTTTGTAAAGTGCAAAATGGTACAATGTTGGTCCTCTTATTGTAGGATGTACTTATCATCATCAACATATCACAATGAATATTCGAGTTGAAAAAATAAAAAATAAAAATCAATGTTGCAATTAAAGGTCCAATTACATCTAATATTTTGTATAATATTATACTATCAAAGGACTATCTCATCCAAAAACTTAAGTTATTGGGTGAAGCTCTAATAAATGATTTATATTGTTCTCTAACACACTTCCTTAAGTGAAAGCTCTTTGAGCTTAAAACTTAAACAGACTCACACTACCTTATGTTTAATTAATTAGAAGAGAAAATGAGGATGATAAGATTTGAACTTATGATCATTTAGTTATTAAAGCTCCGATATCATATTAAAGAACAGATCTCATCTAAAAATTTAAGTTGTTGGGTGAAGCTCCAAGATATGATTTATATTATTCTTTAACATATATAAATTTCAAACAAAGACTAGCAAAGTTAATTTTTATTACCAACAATTGGGATTGTTTTTAGATTAGTTCTCGTATATTAAGATTGAATCCTTTTCCTATATTTTTTAAGCTAAATAATCTAATCTGTTTTTATATAATATTCTGATTTTTTTATATATATATTTTTAAATTTTTATTTGCATTCCATATGCCTTCAAATTTTTGAAAATATTCAATTAATATGTTATTCTGATCAATTTTTTCGACCATAGATAAATTTTTTTTGATTGAAATGCCTTCGTTGAAAAAAAAAACCACTTAAAATCTCATGACATATATGTTTTATTTTTTAAATCTTTAGAATTTATTTATTTTGCCTTTTACTCGGGGGTATTTTGATAAAAAAAAAAAAAACTTTCATATAGTAAAAAAAAATTAATTAGAAATACAAATTAAACATTTCAAAAAAATTTAAGAATATATAAGACATCATTAAAAACCTAAAAACACATAGAAGATTTAAAATTTTATATGAATATTATATGAAAACAAATTGAGTTATTTACCCCCTCCCCCACACACATATTTTCACGATCTTATTTTGGATTTAAGTCCGAGATGGTGTTGTTGAAACAAATTCAAATTATTAGCTAAATCAAGCCTCTAATGGTATGTG